TTAAACGGCTATTGAAACGCGCATAGCATGCCAAGGCTCACGTCTGCTGCACAACGTCATGAGGCCATTGGGATGGTCCGTGGGGGAATGTCTCAACGACAAGTGGCTGCACATTTCCACTGCCACCGGAACACCATTTCTGCACTGGTGAGACGCTACCAGAACACAAATGACGTCATCGATCGGCCACGTTCTGGACGTCCACGTGTAACAACGCCAAGACAGGACAGATGGATAAGGGTGACCCATCTTCGCCACAGGTTTCAGACTGCAGTGATGACTGCCCGAACCATCCCAGGACTTCGCCGTATCCACCCCAACACAGTTCGACAACGTTTACGTCATCACGGGATCAGACCACGACGTCCGCCATACGGCCTATCCTGACACAACGTCATCGACAAGCTCGCCAAATGTGGTGCGAAATCATGTCCGCAGACCCTTGTTTTGGTGGAGAAATGTTGTTTTTACAGATGAGTCCAGGTTTAACATTTCCCATAGTGATGGACGTCAACGTGCCTATAGACGCGTGGGAGAACGTTATGCACAGGCCTGTGTCTTGGAGAGGAATCGCTTTGGTGGTGGTTCCGTGATGATTTGGGGTGGAATAACAGCACGCCAAAGAACTCCTTTGGTGATTGTTCAGGGCAACTTAACTGGTGTGGGCTACAGGGATCAGATTCTTCGACCTGTGGCAATTCCTTTTCTGCAACGTCATGGCCCTGGGTTAACATTCCAACAGGACAATGCCGCCCTCATACGGCAAGGGTTGCTATGGATTTCTTGCAACACCACAACGTTGACTTACTGCCTTGGCCTGCAAATTCACGGATCTCTCCCGATAGAGCATGTTTGGGACGAGATGGATCGGCGTCTACGCCGTCTTCCTCATCCGCCAGATAACGTCCTTGACCTTGCAACAGAACTTGAGAGAATCTGGCGTGACATCCACAAGCCTTCCTTGCACGTTTGATAGGCTCTATCGTCGTCGATGCACTGCTGTTCTCAATGCCGATGGTGGACATACCCGTTATTGAGCTTGTGACATGGTCGTTTGACCCCTGTCCCTTTGCTTGTGGACTCGTGGCGTCATTGTGATTGACTTTTCAATTGAAATTCTCCCGACTTGTTATGGTCTCATGATCCCTCCATTAAAGTTTATATGTACCTTTGACATTGTTATCATACTTATCAACTGGGATAATATTTTGACAATGCACAGTTTCTTTATGTGGCTAGTACATTATAAAACCATTTACATTCCAACACAACTGGTTTGTTATCAACTGTGAGTTCGAGATGCACAGGCTTTCTGAGGAATTGTCAATAGCAGTACTAAGATCAAGGCCACATTGCTACAACTCACTAGGACTCTGGTCATTGATGAACGGAAAAGAGTTCCAGCACTAACCACAGAGAATTTCACATCATCAATGAAGAGAAAGTCACCTTTAATAAACGCGGTCTTCCCCTCTTCCCTTGCTTGTTTCAGATGAGATGCCATTTGCTTTCTTCGGAGTCTGGTTTTAGGGGAGAAATCTTTCGATACCCCAACAGAAGTGTTACCTTTCGACAGTTCCTTTGCTTTATTAAACACAATATATTTGTCGTCTCTTGAGATGAACTTCATAATGATTGGTGGATTAGACCCTGTGGTCTTTTGTGGCCCAACCTGTGCACAATATGAAAGGGAATGTTATCGCTGTTTTCCACTTTTAGTTGATCTTTGAGAAATAAGTAAACCTTCCGTTTGGTTTCCGATGACTCTTCTTTTACATCATCCATGTTAACACCAAAGACAATTAAGTTGTTCCAGCGTGAATAATTTTCGTTCTTATCAATTTCATCCTCCAGAGCAATAATACTCTTTGCTTGGAATGTTACTATCTTTCTGAGATCACTATTTTCTTAGTTAATAAGTTCCAGCTGGCTGTTCAATTTAGCGTTACTTTCAAGTCTATTTGCGGACAGCCCTGCTCTCATATCGCCAGTTGGAATGCTTCTGGATGTAGCATCCCTTCTGTTTCTTTAGTATGGACAGCACATCTGCTAACACGTTTGTGACTCCTGGAATGTGTCTTGCCTTTATTCTTTGGTTGCGATTGTCCGCTAACTCATAAAGTTGAAACATCAGTTCTTGCGGGAATGCCAATTTTGTTGTGACTTGCAAATTTATGTAGAAGGCCACTGCTGCATTGTCTGTGCATATCATCAGGAACTTGTTTCTGGGACCAGTGAGTTACGGCTCTTATGACAACCTCAAACCCCAGTTGGTTGATGTGAAGAGATTCTTTCTCTTCGTACCAGGTCCCTGCTGTTACTTCTGAGTTGAAGATCTCCCCAGCCTTGGTGTAAAGCGTCAACAAACATATGCAGATTGTAGTCCGGCTCTTGTAAATATGTTCTTCTGCAGACATTTCAATTGACCATCCAACGGCGAATGTATTTCTTGACAGATAATCTTGAGAGCTTGCAGAAGACAATTCTGGATCTCATGTTAGGAATCTGATTGAATGGTGAAGTCAGCTGATGTCTGAGTAGATCTGCTAATTAGTGAGCTTGAATGCCATCATCTAAGTAGAAGGCACTGCGTATCCCCTTCATGTGCAGGAAAGTCACTTGGTAAGGCTTGGTCACACTTGTTTACAACCACAAGGCCGTAGATATTCCAAAAGGAAAAAACGTCAGGTTGTAGTGTCAAGCTGCGCCTATTTCTTATCCTCCACCTTGTAGGAGTTTGTCGTTGAATCGTTCATGAGGGAGGAGTCTTCGTCAATCTCTGGCACCTTGTTGAAGACCTCCATGTTGTGAAGACGAAACCTACTTAGTGTAAAACAACGTTGGCAACCCCTGAGCCTTGTAGCCTTCGCTAAGGCTGACTACAAGTTCTCCGCCACTTGTCAAAGTGGTCAAAGTGTTGATATCATCATCCTTGATACAGTAGGTATCTGATGGGGATGAGTCCTTTGTAGGAGAAGAAATCGGAAGACCATCAGCAATCCAGACTAGCAGCTCCTGATCCTTGTAGATAGACGAATTATCTTCCTCTTGAGATATATCCCCTAAAACTGAAGCGTTGAGGTTTTCCTCCTGAGACTCCTGCAGACGGACGATGCTGGAGTAGACTGTATGACAGGGTTATTAGCCTCCATGGCAGGTTGCAGTAGATGTTGCTGTATAGCCATCAAAACTTGCTTCAAATGTTGGCCACTAAGTCCGGATGCTGCACAAAGGCTTGCATCTGCGCTAAGGGATAAGGCTGCGAGAGAAGACCTGGGCTTGCGTGAAGGCTTACGCCTGCATGAACTGAGAAGGCTGCACGAAGGCCTGGGCTTGTGTGAAGGCTTGCGTCTACGTGAAGAAACGTGTCTATGTGAAAGGCTATGGTTGAACCAGGCTGCGTTGCTGCATCATCCCTTGCACGAAGGCCTAGGGCCTGCATTGAAGGCTTTGGCTGTGTGAAAGTGTACAGTTGAACAAGGTTGCATTGCTGCATCATCCCATGCATCAAAGCCTGCGCGCATGTCGTCTTCTGAGCCGTCTACGTTGAAGGCATCTGTAGTACCACTACTTCAGGTTCTAAAACCGGTGGACTCTCTGTGAAGGATAGATCATCTGCTTCGTATGAAGAAATTTTCTCAAAGACCTGAATGGAGGCTTCGACCTCCTCCAAGCTGCCAGCGCTCCCAAGGTTACTGAATTAGTAACCTTCCCCGGTAATTTCTTAGCGAACATCTTCTTCTGCTTAGCAAGCTTCTGCAGGCTGGACATCCTGCGAAGCAGACTTTCTCTTCGATTGGCTGCACTTCGTTATAACGTCTTTGTTGATAAATCAACAAGAGAATGGTGTGAGGGAAACTCAACAGCCGACTGAAAGGAATCCATATTATTAATATTCAGAGAATTTATATTTCTCCCGGGGACTGTATATGTCCCCAGAGGACTGTAAAGGAACAAACTCAAGTTCTGCCAAGTGCTTGTAAGTCTTCTCTTTAGGTGACACAGCCTGGGTACGATCTGGAGTTTTCGTTGTAAGGCCACTAAATAACAGGTGAATTCTGGGCACAAAAGCTACACCTTGAGTTTAAATTGCAAATATAACTACTACATGAAGAGCACACAAGGTGAGGGTTATGAACAGATATTCTATATTAGCAAACGGAGCACGTTTTCATACATTGTACAACACTCTGATAAAGTCAGGAAAATTTAATTAATTAACAACAATTTTACAAAAATAACCCATAGTTATGATGTACAAAGGATACAGGATGAAATAACAAAGCAATAGCTTGTATAGTGAAGAGAGGAATGCACCCAACCGTCCAGGAGGGCGAAAATGGAGAGAATGACAAGCTACCAGCAGTCACGTGGGTAGCTGGTGCACAGGCGCGGGAGAGGCCCATTTGGGGTGAGCTATTTTTAAACTGTTCTTGGGAACATAAGACAGTGGTTTCCACTGTACCTCGGGAGAAAGGGGAGATAAGCAATTAGTATAAGTCAGGATAAGGAAACATTATGTTTTAAATAATTGTACAAAAACAGTGGAGGCTAAGATAAACGAATTTCGTTTGAAAATGAATTATGTTGTACAGACCCATCAAGCATTGCATAGGATCGGTCTATGCAGCCAGTTAACAGCTATCATGGAATGGAGGTTCAGACTGATCCTAAAAGACAGGGTAACAGCTGTCCATGCCAAACTGGACTGTTCAATAGTTTCAAATTCAAATAGCCGGAAAACTTGCTATCCGGACGATTTTCAGATGTAACCAAAGCGTCCATGTAAAAGGGGCTCAACTGTATTACCAGATTCAGCATACTGAATGCTCTGACCAGCTCCTAAGAATTCTCTGTATGTATATTTGTCATTTTTATACCCCTTCCCAACTCATGAAAGGTTTGACTATGTGGGGTAACAACATGTTACAAACATTGTCTGAATATTGATAAATAGAAAATTGTTTGGACAGATGTTGCTATGATGGTTATTTGTTTACTTCTGTATCCAGCTGTGAAGAACCATGTTGTGACCATGGCCAGGAGTCCCTTGAAGAGAACACTTTCAAGCTTCCAATACAAAGATGGTTGAAGAACACGGACTGGCCACAGCAGCAGCAACCATACACAGTAGGATGATATAGCATACACATTGGTGAATAGGATGAGAGAAAAGCGAACAGTGTACTGACAATACTGCAGTACATGTGTCAGACCCTGTAATAGATCTACCATCATGAAGACTTTCAATGTCAGCTGTAACAATCTGAAAAAAAAAAAAAAATTGATTACAAATGAATTCAGTCTTTTACTTGCAAAATGTATCTGCTCATTACTCTTGCAGGAATTCAAACCTGTGAATCACAAGAGCAAATAATCAGCATACATTTGAATTTTTTAAATAAACTGTAAATTTATAACACTTATACTGTCACATGTCGTGCACTTATATTTTTCTTCTACTGTGGAGTGGAAACAACTGTGACAAAAGTTTCCAGCTTCTTGTATCACATACTGGAAGGACAAATTATGAGGGGCATTCAAAAAGTAGTCAGTCTCACCTCGAAATTGATACAAATGCAGCTGTCTTTATGTTTTATTTTTCTACATATTATCTGTCAACCTCAAGCAAATTGGTTTTGCTATGTTCCAGCCTCACGATCCCCATTTTGTTTGAATAAACCCCACAAAATCTGTAATAAATGCATCACAAACTTCAGGAAACAAAATATGCAAAAAACATTTTGTGTGTTTGTGATGGGCAGAAGTCTTAAACTTAGATATTGAAGTGCATAAAAAAGCAATTTGAAACTACAATTGCTTGTTCATGTTTACTCAAAGAGGTGGTTTTGGAGACACTTCTCAGCCCCCTTTCAAATGATGTGATCATAAGGAATCAACTTATTCTAATGTTTTCACTTATTCATACATGATGCCAAGGGTTCAAACTAAATACTGAAAGGTCACAAGTGTCAGCTCTCAATATATTGTAAACAGTACCAGCTTGAATATCTGGACACAATGTTTTTGAAAGATTAACATGGGGTGTCTTAAAAACAGACCCTGTCTAAATATAAATCAAGCAATCCAAATCATTGAATGTTGATAATAACAGGAAGTCATCCAATACTATACTGAACATATTTTATATGATATTATCTGAGGGCATACCATTATCCAAGAGGCACCAAATGACAGATCATTTCTCATTTTCTGCAATTTTTAAAGAAATATTATACCCCAATGTGTGGTGATGACTAATATCTCGCTAACCACATTACCCACATATGTGAAAGTTTGGATATGGCTTTGATAATGATTCCTTCAAAATAAAATGGAAGCTTTTCAAACATTGGACATAGAGAATATAGTTAGGCTGACTACTTTTTGAACGCCCCGCGTATGTTGTTACAGAGCAATATTCCAGCAGTATCAATAAAACCTTTTAAAGTGGAAATCAAGGTTGAAGGTCAGCCTGTCGAAATGGAGGTTGATACTGGAGTAAGTATGACAATAATGCGTGAGGAGCATTTCCATAAGAATGTTGGACACCCAAAGTTCAATGACTCTTGTAAACAGTTCACAAGCTATTCAGGAAATAGTGTTTCTGTCTTGGGGAAATATCACACAGTGCCACTCATTGTAGCTAGAGTTCATGGTGTGCCACCGTTAATGCACAACCTGTGTTTTGCAGACCTTCAAAGATGAAGTTGATGACAAAATGGATCCTCTTGAGAAAGATGGCATCACTGTGAAGGTGGAATAAAGTGAGTGGGCTGCCCCAATTGTGGTGGTCAGGAAGAGGAACCAGTTGGTTAAAATCTTTGGGGATTATAAAGTCACCATTAACAGATATTACCAGGGAATCAGCAGTGTTTTTGGTTAACAGGGACGATATTTTGATTGTCAGTGACACAACAGAGGAACATGTTGAAAAACTGCGATTAATTCTGGAACGTTTCAGAAACCATGGGGTCAAAGTTAACTTCCAACTCATGAAAATGTGGATGCCATCCATAATGCGCCAAGACCACAGTCAGTTTCTGATGTACCCAGTTTCATGGGAATGTAACTGTATTATGAAAAATTCATACCAAATTTGTTAATACTGGTGCATCCTCTTAACAAGCTTTTACAAGCAAACTAATTCTGAAAGTGGCCTCAAACGTGCTTAACATAAGCTTGCATCAACCAATGTACTTTTCCACTACAATGTGAAACTGTCTATTCGGCTGGCTAGTGATGCATCTTCACATGGAATTGGTGCAGCGCTCTCCCATGTACTTCATAGGGGTGTGGAAAAACCTAGCTTATTCATCATGAACACTCAGTAAAGCTGAGAACAATTACTCACAACTTGAAAAGGAAGGATTGTCTCTGATTTTTGGGGTCATGAAATTTCATAGCCACCTCTACGAATGACGGTTCTGATGGTTAGAGATCATAAACCATTGCCAGCCATTCTTTGTCCAAAGGTGGAAGTGCCAACACCAGCAGCGGCACATCTTCAGCAATGGGCGTTGACTATCGTCTCATGATTATGACTTGGAATTTCAAACAAGAGAACATGCAAATGCAGATGTGCTTTCAAGGTTACCTCTGTCTTGCATGATGGAGTCTCTGTTGATGTGTTTTACAGCATGCCTCTAGATGATTTTCTCTCACTTCTAGAGAAATTGAGTCTGCAACAAGAAAGGATCCTGTTGTAGCAAGAGCCCTGGGTCTTACTCAAAACGGATGGCCCGAGACACTCCAATCAAATATGAGTGAGCACAAAGTGTTCCACGAACATGAGTGAGTATGGTTTTACGCCAGCAATATCACAGCAGGGGACACCGGAAATGGGCTTCACACATTGTACCCATGTGGGGAACTGAACCCGGGTCCTTGGCGTGACGAGTGAACGCTTTAACCACTAGGCTACCCCACGACACGAATTTTCAACAGAGCAGGGCTGTTTCTTATGGGACCAGCGAGTAGTGATACTGACCATTCTAAGACATTTTAAGTGATGAAGTTTATAGAATACATGAAGACCATCCTGGTGTGTGCAGAAAGAAAGCATAGGCTTGGAGTTACCTTTGATGGATTATGTATAGAAGAGGCTGTTCAAGCTTGTTTGTCTTGCCCAGCAGTAAGAAGCTCACCAGCTCACCACTGCTCCTCTCCATCACAAGGGTCTGAGAGAGAGTGCATATTGACTATGCAGAGTTACAGGAGCAGTACTACTTTGTGATTGTGGGTGCTCATAGCAAATTTCAGGACCATCTCAGGCTACCAGATCACAAGCAGATAATAATAATAATAATGATAAGAGTATTTATAAAGTGCCGACTGCCACCACACAAGGGCAATGCTCAAAGCGCTGACAAGTCACAGGTCACTTGTACAAGAAAATACAAGGATTTATGAAACATAGCGTTGAAAGAGGTGTGTTTTGATTCTGTTTTTGAAGTGTGGCAGAGTTGGTACTAGTTTTAGGTCAAGAGGCAGAGAGTACCAAAGGGTAGCACCTGCATACTGAAAGGACTTGGCACCAAACAATTTGAGTTTATAAGTAGGCATGGACAGAAGAAACTGATCAAGGGAGCGGAGAGTTCTGGAAGGAGTGTACAGCATGATGAGGTCTTGACTGACTGACTGACTGAGTTGGTTTTACCCCGTTTTTAGCAATATTCCAGAAACATCACGGCAGGATGAGGTCTTGAAGATAGGCAGGTGCCATTTTGCAAATTGCCTAATAATAAGTGAGTATCAGTATTTTGAATCTAATACATTAAGGAATATGAAGCCAGTGGAGAGATTGGAGAATGGGTGTTATGTGACAGGATGGTTTGCTTTTTGTTATTATATGGGCAGCAACGTTCTGAATCTTTTGAAACTTGTTGATCAATAATGACAAATTGCGGCTTTGCCTCCTCAACCATCTTTCTATTTGGTATCTAAGGAAACTCATATAGCACCCAAAATTGACCCATTGCTTTCAGAACCAGTGGCTGAAACTGACCTGCAGAAATTAGTTACAGAACTGACGTCACCATCCTCTAACACCAGACAAGATATGACATTCAATGAGTGAAGATATCCTGTCAGAGAACGAAAACCATGATGTTAACTTCACCTTTGACCTTCTGTTGTGAAAATGTGACCAGGTAATCATGGATACAGACATCATAACATAGTTGATTATTGTTTCAGTTCTAAATGTTTTGATAAAGTTCATAAATAATCAGGCATTTAGAGTACAAACTGCCAGCAACAAGCCTTGACAATAATGAAGTACACTATACCCACACTTAGATACAGTCAGCTACAAGCCTTGACAATAATGAAGTACAATATACCCACACTTAGATACAGTCAGCTACAAGTCTTGACAATAATGAAGTACACTATACCCACACTTAGATACAGTCAGCTACAAGCCTTGACAATAATGAAGTACACTATACCCACACTTAGATACAGTCAGCTACAAGCCTTGACAATAATGAAGTAGCACACTATACCCACACTTAGATACAGTCAGCTACAAGCCTTGACAATAATGAAGTACACTATACCCACACTTAGATACAGTCAGCTACAAGCCTTGACAATAATGAAGTACACTATACCCACACTTAGATACCAGTCAGCTACAAGCCTTGACAATAATGACTGACTGACTGACTGACTGACTGAGTTTGGTTTTACGCCGCTTTTAGCAATATTCCAGTAATATTATGGAGAGGGACACCAGAAATGGGCTTCACTCATTGTACCCATGTGGGCTTCATGGGGATTCAACCGGGTCTTCGCTGACGAGCCAACGCTTTAACCACTAGACTACCCCACCGCCCCTGACAATAATGAAGTACACTATACCCACACTTAGATACAGTCAGCTACAAGCCTTGACAATAATGAAGTACACTATACCCACACTTAGATACAGTCAGCTACAAGTCTTGACAATAATGAAGTACACTATACCCACACTTAGATACAGTTAGCTACAAGCCTTGACAATAATGAAGTACACTATACCCACACTTAGATACAGTCAGCTACAAGCCTTGACAATAATGAAGTACACTATACCCACACTTAGATACAGTCAGCTACAAGCCTTGACAATAATGACTGACTGACTGACTGACTGACTGAGTTTGGTTTTACGCCGCTTTTAGCAATATTCCAGTAATATCATGGAGAGGGACACCAGAAATGGGCTTCACTCATTGTACCCATGTGGGGATTCGAACCCGGGTCTTCGGCGATTCGAACCGGGGTCTTCGGCGTGACGAGCCAACGCTTTAACCACTAGACTACCCCACTGCCCCTGACAATAATGAAGTACACTATACCCACACTTAGATACAGTCAGCTACAAGCCTTGACAATAAAGAAGTACACTATACCCACACTTAGATACAGTCAGCTACTAGCCTTGACAATAATGAAGTACACTATACCCACACTTAGATACAGTCAGCTACTAGCCTTGACAATAATGAAGTACAATATACCCACACTTACATACAGTCAGCTACAAGTCTTGACAATAATGAAGTACACTATACCCACACTTAGATACAGTCAGCTACAAGCCTTGACAATAATGAAGTACACTATACCCACACTTAGATACAGTCAGCTACAAGCCTTGACAATAATGAAGTACACTATACCCACACTTAGATACAGTCAGCTACAAGCCTTGACAATAATGAAGTACACTATACCCACACTTAGATACAGTCAGCTACAAGCCTTGACAACAAGACGACAAAGTCATCAATATCCCCCTCAATGGCAAAATACTCTTCATGATTATGTCTACGAGTTATGATTATGTCAAATATTTAGGTGTGTATATAGAAATATTTAGGTGTGTATATAGAAAAGTGGAAGGTGTGTATTGAAAGGTTTTTAAAGTTCTGCTCCAGAAAGCAGCACTATCACCAATTTCAGTCAAACTTGCTGCCATGGAAATGCCAAAAATATTTTATTCAGAATTCCCAAACTACCAAAAGGCACCAGTACACCACCAGACCAATCTATGTGCCAAGTTTGGTGAAGAAACATTGAACCGTTTTAGAGTTCTGCTCCGGAAAAGAGCACTACCACAATTTCAGGCTAAGTCAAACTTGTTGCCATGGAAAAACGTCCCAAAACCATATTTTATTCAGAATTCCTGTCTCGAAACTACCTAAAGGCACCAGTACACCACCAGATCTATCTATGTGCCAAGTTTGGTGAAGAAATAGTGAATGGTTTTAGAGTTCTGCTCCGGAAAAGAGCACTACCACCAATTTCAGTCTAAGTTGAACTTGTTGCCATGGAAACGCCAAAAATATTTTATTCAGAATTCCAAAACTACCAAAAGGCACCAGTACACCACCAGATCTATCCATGGACCAAGTTTGGTGAAGAAACATTGAACTGTTTTAGAGTTCTGCTCCGGAAAAGAGCACTACCACTTATTTCAGTCAAAGTCGAACTTGTTGTCATGGAAACGCCAAACATATTTAATTCAGAATTCCAAAATTACCAAAAGGCACCAGTACACCACCAGATCCATGTATGTGCCAAGTTTGGTGAAGAAATATTGAACGGTTTTAGAGTTCTGCTCCGGAAAAGACAAATGTGCACAGACGGACAAACGGACGCACGGACGGAGTCCATTTTAATATCCCCCGCAAAACGCGTTGCGGGGGATAATAATGAAGTACACTATACCCACACTTAGATACAGTCAGCTACAAGTCTTGACAATAATGAAGTACACTATACCCACACTTAGATACAGTCAGCTACAAGTCTTGACAATAATGAAGTACACTATACCCACACTTAGATACAGTCAGCTACAAGCCTTGACAATAATGAAGTACACTATACCCACACTTAGATACAGTCAGCTACAAGCCTTGACAATAATGAAGTACACTATACCCACACTTAGATACCAGTCAGCTACAAGCCTTGACAATAATGACTGACTGACTGACTGACTGACTGAGTTTGGTTTTACGCTGCTTTTAGCAATATTCCAGTAATATTATGGAGAGGGACACCAGAAATGGGCTTCACTCATTGTACCCATGTGGGGATTCGAACCCGGGTCTTCGGCGTGACGAGCCAACGCTTTAACCACTAGACTACCCCACCGCCCCTGACAATAATGAAGTACACTATACCCACACTTAGATACAGTCAGCTACAAGCCTTGACAATAATGAAGTACACTATACCCACACTTAGATACAGTCAGCTACAAGTCTTGACAATAATGAAGTACACTATACCCACACTTAGATACAGTTAGCTACAAGCCTTGACAATAATGAAGTACACTATACCCACACTTAGATACAGTCAGCTACAAGCCTTGACAATAATGAAGTACACTATACCCACACTTAGATACAGTCAGCTACAAGCCTTGACAATAATGACTGACTGACTGACTGACTGACTGAGTTTGGTTTTACGCCGCTTTTAGCAATATTCCAGTAATATCATGGAGAGGGACACCAGAAATGGGCTTCACTCATTGTACCCATGTGGGGATTCGAACCCGGGTCTTCGGCGTGACGAGCCAACGCTTTAACCACTAGACTACCCCACTGCCCCTGACAATAATGAAGTACACTATACCCACACTTAGATACAGTCAGCTACAAGCCTTGACAA